CTCTTCCCCCCTTTCCCCCTCCTCCTTTTCTTTCTCCCTCTCCTCCCTCTTTTCTTCTTTCTCCCTCTCATCTTCTTCCTCCTTTTTTTCCCTCCAGTGCTGGGGATTGAACCCAAGTCCTAGAGCATGCTGGGCCCTCTTTTGAGACATATTCTCAGTGTGTTGCTCAGGGTGCCTGCAACCTTGTGATCCTCCTGCCTCAGCCTCCTGAGTAACCAGAGTTATAGCTGTGAGCCACTATGCAGGAATCAAAAGGAAGTCCTTTACAACTCAAATTGAAAAGCTTTGAAAATCAAGTTTCTTTAAAAAAATTATTTATTTATTTATTTATTTATTTATTTATTTGATATAGGGTCTTGCTATGCGGTTCAGATTCATAGTGATCCTCCTGTCTCAGCCTCCCTTAGTGCTGAGATTACAGGCATATACCATGCCCAGTTTTGGGTCCAGCATGGCGTGTATTTCTGGGGATCAAACTTGTGTCCTTAAGCTTGCCAGGCAGGTGCTTAGAATGTTGAGCTATCTTCCCAGTCTGAAAATCAAATTTCTTGTATGTTGTACTCTTAAGTTTGGCAGTCTTCTGTTAAGAAATTGTTATTATTTTGTCTTTTTGAGACAGGCTCTCACTATGCAGTTTAGGCTGGCCTTGAACTCATTTTGTAGCCTCAGCTGGCCTTGAACTCACCCCAAGTATCCATCTGTCTGAGCCTCCTGAGTACTGGAATTACAGGCATGGGCCACTATGCCCAGTAAGAAGTGATTTTTAATATGTCTTTAAAGACATTACTTTATTTTTTTAATATGATGGTGCTTTTACATTTTATTTTCAATGACATACAATCTACACAAAATATAGTACCCAATTTCTAACTTATAACATTAAGAAGAACACTCTAGTTTCAAGAAGCATAACATAACTCAGATTATACTAATCAATGCACTGTATATTGTTTCCAATAAGGTACAATAGAACAATAAAATGAATGAATTACTACTACATATCATCATGAGGCTTTTTTATTTTAGGGAAGGGTCTACAGGGTGGTCAGGATCTCACTACTAGATTGGACTCGTAGTGATCCTCCTGTTTATAGCTTCCCAAGCGCTGGGACGGAGCGAGCCACCACACCCAGTCTCATTTGCCATCTCAGCATGTCCTGGGGGCGGGGCTGGCACGGCAGGCCCAGGGAGGTGATCGAACCCCTACCTCCTGGGCCCGCTTGCAGGCTCTTTAATCCGTTGAGATATTTGGCTAGCCCTATCATGAGTATTTTTGAGATAAAATTTAAGCAAACAAAGCAAGTTGCATGCAAATAGCATATGACTGCATAGATTTAAAAGATAAAGTTTGGCACAATATTACTGCACCTTCTTTGGGAAACAGATGCATGGGATAAATTCAAACAGAGGCAAGAAAATAAGTGTGTAGGCCAAAATGCAGCCACTAGTGGTTATCCAGGTTGTGGGAGTTTATTTTTATTTTTATTGTTTTAAAAATAATTTTATTGAGAAACAAATAGCAATGAGACAGTTTCAAAACCAATT